ATATCTTTTCAAGCTAAATAATATACAATTTATTGTTTATTTGAGTACACGATCATATAAAAAAAAAATTTATATTTCTTACATTCCATTAGAGGCTTGGCTAAATGGAAAACTGATGCATATATTCCATTTCTGAATCAAGTTTTTTATTTTTTTTTTTTTTTTTTTTTTTTTGAGTATTGTACAAATATGGAGTAATACGAATAGAAAACATACCTACATATATAAATCTTCTACATATACATTATATATGAAAGCTATAACTATAAAGCAATAGGCACAATTGTTAAGCGATCAACGATCAAATCCAAAACGTGTTTAGCTTAATCCAGGATATACAGCTTACCTATTAATTGTTTTTTCTAATTTCCTTTGACATTTATATTGAGTGTAAAATATTGCCCGCAGTTATGGCAGCTCAAGTATTATAGCTGTATCAATAATATCTCTTGCGTTATCTGAATCGTTTTGACATTTCAACACGAGCCAGATTCTCACACAGAGCTGGAACTGTGTGCAACAAACTGTGGCAAGTCGGGCTGTCGACTGTCTGTCTGGGGCATTGCATAAGAGCGACCAGTTTGCGTCGCTAATGCCACTAATGAAGCGATAGATTATGTCTCGAATGACAAATAGAAAGATTTTCACATTTGGCGCCAGTCACTCACTCACACACACACACACAGACAGACAGACAGAGCTTCGACCTTCCAGCCGCCGATGAAGGTCACGCGCGGCAGGAAAGGAGATGTAACTGAAACTATGCTACTGGTATTGAGCAGACCCTATTGCTAATTGATTGAGTGTTTCACGTTTCAATTTCCTCATTAGATGCACTCAATTACCAGTTGAATGTAAAACTGACTATACCAAAAATAAAAACCAGTTGATCAGATTGAACGTAAATGGGAAAGCGATTATGCAGCTATAATTTAATACGCGTTGCAAGTGCCGCCGGCGTTGCGGCCGCCGCTTGTGGCACTGACATGTGCAACTAAGTAGACAACAACCAACAACCGCCGCTGCCAACAACAGCAGCAGCAACAACCACAACAACAACAACCGACATAAAAGAAAAATAAGCAGGAGTAGGAGCTGGAGCTGGTGGCCTGTTTCATTTGTGTCCACATTTGTTTGTTTGTTTTTCATTTCATTTCTTTTCTTTTCTTTTTGTTGCAGCTGATTAACGCGAAAACTTTAACAGGAAACTTAACGCCAACTCCTTCCGCTTGGCTATATAAATAGGCATTGTTGCGCCAACTGGGCCGCAGTTACACCAAACATTTGATCGCGTTGTTGTCGTCGTCGTCGTCGTCCTCGTCGTTGTCGATCATTGATCGAGTGTTGAGCATTCAAAAGAAATGAAATTCGCAATTGTGAGTGATATAAATATTAATAATAGATACAAATTGCTCTACTTGATACATAGTATAGATAGAGTGATATAAGCACCGATTATATTCTAAATATAATCTATACTACTTCAGATGTATATATATATATATATATATATATATATATATATATATATATATATATATATAATATATATATATATATATATATATATATATATATATATATATATATATATATATACATCTGAAGTAGTA